CAACAAATCTAAATGCTTCTCTTTGAGCAAACATTTAAACTCAGTGACTCTATGTATCTATCTAACATGTCAAGTAAAAATCGTACATTTGTTATGATTTGGACATAAGCGTTGCAGAATGGTTCACTAGCCTTCTATAAAATAACACATCCACATTGGTGTTTTTCATTGCCAGGTGTAAAGACCGGAGGAGCAGACAGAAACATGCTTCTGTGTGAACACTGGCCACATTTGGAAGTCCAGCTATTGTTTATTAGCTCTGTAGTTTCTTGATGTTGGTTTTACTTGGAGGGACTGGTTCTTCCATACCTGGAGGCAATCCTGTCACGGCCATTTGGGCTGCTACCTCAGTATCAGCATCACGATGGCTTCTGCGCCTCGGGCCCTTGGGTGCTCAGTGTTCCAGAGTCAGGGTACAGGCTGCATCTCAGAACAAAGCAGCTCCACTTTCATGCTTTTGTCCAGACTTCGCCAAATACAAGACAGGTTCCTGGGCCATTTCATCAGAGACAAAGCCTCCGGGAAAGGGAGGGAAAAGATGGCATCATAAAAAACAAATCATGCAGGAATTGAACCAAGGTCACAAAAATGGGATTTTGTCATGAAGCCATGAAACAGAGGAGCTGTGTGGTGGGGTGAGATTTAATTTTACTCAAACCATTTGACTTTAGATGTGACAAGCTGTCTCTGTCTGTGTGTATCTTCCCCAGTGGCAGTAAAAATGACCTTGTCTTTAGGTGACAAACTGGACACCTGACATCTTATTTTGCTCCTCTGTCACACAAACACACACACAGACACACACACAGAGGGTGCAGTGACAGTAAGTGATATGGGAGACGCTCTCTCTCTCATCATGAAGACTTATCATACACCCACATGACAGAGGCAGGCTTTCTAGGCAGGTGGACACGCACACACGCATGCACACACACACACACACACACACATAACCACACACCTACACACACACAGACTCACACATGTCTAGTGGTGAGGCTGTGGGGACAGTTGATCCCCAGACAGATTAGGCTGCAAACTGAAATCTCCTCAGGCCAGCCCTGAGATCTCACACACACACACACACACACACACACACACATACACACACGCCCAGTGTCAAAGCTTTAAAGTCACATATTTTCGACAGACAGCTGTGGCATCCTAGTTAAAAGTTTGAGTAAAGTCTGGAGTCCAACCATCAGAGAGTTCAAACAAGGCGTGAACATATTTGTATATTTGTGTTAAGAAAAATAAGGAAAAATTGTGTGCTGTACTAAATAGATAAACGATGAGCAGCTACCATATTTAGGTAGCAAATATTGGATTGTTTACAACAACATGTCAACAAATTGCTAGGATGCTCTAGAGCACAGGTGTCAAATCTGTGTAATTATATTTGGCCCGTTAGATAATACCAAACGTCTGTTAGAGATAGCCCACTGGTATGTAGTGCATGCACTGCTAATATTACACATCCCAGAATGCTGTGCTGGTGCGTTGGTGAAGACCTGCAAGCGTCCCCTTCTGTTGACATTCATTAGCAACTCTTGACATTTGTTAGCAACTTCATGTTACCGTCACCTCAAGAAAATTTAAGTCACCTCTGAAAAAATGGCCAAAGGAAGATGGAAAACAGGAGCTTTCAAGACACCTCGGAGGCAGATTGTCTGTTCAGGAATTTGAAAACTTTTCTGTGTTTCTCCTTTTCATTAAATGCATTCTTTTTTCTTATTTATTTTTTTAAATGTTGGTTGTTTTGTTGTTGGCCTGTGGATAAAGGTTTCCACTGAAAATAAACTCAAACGCGGACCAAAAAATCTCCTCCTCCTCCCCAACCACCTCCCTTTTTAAAAACAGTCAATTTATATCCATGTATTAAATAACCAATCATTCTCACCCAACCGGTCAAGGCAGATGGCCGCCTTTCCTGAGCTCAGTTCTGCTGGAGGTTTTTTTTTCTACCCTCCCTTGGGTTTTTTTTTTGGTTCTTTCCCACCGTTGCCAACCATTTGCTCAGAGGGAGGCAACTTTGGAACTTTGGATTGCTGGGTTCTCTGTTTAAATTTGTAAGGTCTTCATCTTACCACGTTAAGTGCTATGTGATGACATGTGTTGTAAACTGCGATACACAAAAAAAATTGAATTGAAAATTGAATTGAATTTAAAAACCCTGGTTGTTTCTCATATTGTGGGACTGTAGGATGCAGATGGTTCATTATTGTACCTTGGAACTCTGTAATCTGGATTTTTGTGAGGACCATTTAAGTTGGTCTCCTTGTTCTTGTGTTTATAATGTATTTATTTGATTATTGTGAATTTAAGGCTCTGCCGGGGGTTTGTGATCTGGCCCGTGACTTAGTCCCAGTTTTTATTTTGGCCCACTGTGTATTTCAGTTTGACGCCCATGCTCCGTAGCATTGACTGGAAGTTTAATGTGGTGGCCAGAGGTGTCGCTAACTTGGTAGTGCATGACTTCTTCTAACTCCTGGCTATTCCAAAATGAGCAAAAAGGTGGAGCGTTCGTGGACCTGAAGCAAGTCATGCAATGTCACACCTTTAAAATGCATAAATTTAAGCTTTATTAACATTTAGAGTTAGATAAAAGGGGAATTAGCCACAAGGACCAAAACCATTTTTGTACGAGGCTGTAGATATGTTTTATTCTTCTGTAAAGTTAGACATTTTAACATGGGGGTCTATTGGAATTGACTTACTTGTAGTGCTAGCCACTAGTGGCCAGTCGGGGAACTGCGCTTATGTATTGGCAAAATTTTTCAGCCCCCTAGGTTGCCACTTGCTCTGGAGGATGTTGGGGAGTTAATTAAGCTTCTTTTTTATTAAGTATTATTATTATTATTAAGTAAATAAGTCTTTGAGATCTTTTTTCTTTAGAGACCCATAAAAACAAATTATAGCAACACTGACATCTGAACATACAAACAGGGTCACAAGATTGACACTAAAATAAAACCATAAACATAGAAGTTAGAAAAGCACTCAGAGATGAGCATCAAAACCTCTGACAGGTGTTATTTCCATTGTAGATGCTGCCGTTCATTATTTGCTCAGCATAGTGCAAACTTTTTGAGTCGGTTCAGGACTTTCTATTGACCCACATTTTGCTGTGACTTTGGACTCCGTTGTGACTGCTGTAAGTCCAAGCTTGTTGGAAACTGCTGCTTTCTACAAGCTTGCAAGTTACAGAGGGATGTTTTTGATACGCAGAATTAATTTTGGGTGGATTTCTTATAGATCTACAGTTCCACTCGCATCACTCAAAATTGGCTAACCCTTTGGTTTGCCTCACCTTGCCCTAAGAGGTTCCTAACCTGAACTAAAAGACTTCCATCAGTCAAATATTAGTACTTGCCTTCAAACACTCTCATTGATCACACATGACGGGGAGATACACCATGTTTTAAGATCAATGGTTTTCTCCAACACAGCGGAGTGGAAGCTTAACTGAAGCTAACCCTGCATTGACAAGTCTCTCCTCTCATATCTTGATCAGATGAAATGTGTTCAGGGCCACTAGTGTTTGATTACATAACAGCTGTGGACAGCTATTTGCAGCACATTTCATTATTTATCTCTCTCACGTCTTTTGATGTACCAGAGCTACAACTCTGATTTCTACAACGACACAACAACACATTTTAGGAAAGATATCAAGTTTTTTTTTTTTTTTTAGTCTGTGGTAGTTATTTACAAGTAAGTTGCTTTTGATTGTTGTTTGAAATTGAATGTGTGGACAATGAGGAGGGAATGGCAACGTGGAAACAGATTCATGTTGACAATCACTTTTCGCTTTACGCTTCCTTTCTGTCAGCACTACCGTCCTTATCGGCAGCAGGAAAATGCCCTGAAAATGTCTAGAAAAATTTACAAGAGCTCCTCACTCGCTGCTTTTTAGGAACTTTAATCATCCTTTGCTTTCTGTTTCTCTTTCTGTTGTTTCATCTTTGTCTTTTCCTTCTTTAATTATTAATAGGAATTTACTAAAATATATATATATATGTTGCTTCACATATTTATGCCTCTCCTTTTGTTCTATTTTCCTGTTTCTTGCCTTCACTTGCTGAGCTGTGCTTAGTTTATTTTCTCACCAATTTCAATTTTGTGCTTGTGTAGGTTCGACTACCAGGAGCTGCTTCATAACTCCAGCTTCTGCCTGGTGCCGCGAGGCCGACGTCTTGGATCCTTCCGCTTTCTGGAGGCCTTGCAGGTGCGTGTGTGGGTTTATCCTTGGATGGATAATGTCACTGTATACTGCATTTTTGCCCAGGTATGTGTGTGTGTGTGTGTGTAAAATGTGTGGACACTCTATTGGGACAAGAGTGGAATTAAGCTCACACATGACATTTTGTTAACTCCACTGCATTAAAAAGTGTTCGTAATATTTTACCCACCCCCTATATGTTCATACTAGAATATATTGTAAGTCTTCCAGAAGTCTTAAATTTAACATATACCTTAAAAAAAAAGAAAAATCTATATTAGAAACACTTTCAATGCAGAGAATTGGCTCAACTAAAAACATTGTAGGACTGTTGTTACAGATGCATCAGTGTGTCAGCAGTGTTTTCACTGGTTGGTCAAGGCAGAACTCATAAAGTATAAAGATGTGTTTTTTGAACTGCTGATGTAAAAATCCAGTGGAGGAGACTAACAATGGACATGGTAAGTCATTTGCTTGGGCAGTCTACAAAAGAGCATGTCAGTGTAGATTCTCAGTCATCCAGGTCATCGTAGTAGTCGAAATCAACTGGACTTCTCTTGCAGGTTCTTCAAGCTGTTTCACCTCTTATCCAGGAGGCTTCTTCAGTTCTAACTGACTAATGGGGGGGTTACAGAATTTATAGTCTCTCCAGCTCACATTGGTAATGGCCCATGGCTTGTTGTGAAACCAGGTGGTCCACCAATATTGACAGCCATCATGGTGGTGAAGCTGCCAGTTTACACAACAAAGGATATCAATCTGCCATGTCACTGGTGACTCAAGAAGGTAATAAAAGTGAAACTTTCTGGGAAGAGACTTTATCACTGCGTTATAGGTGCTTGGCAGGTGGTGTTGCAGACCCCCTCCTCTGTTTCGAGATGGCTTTTCCAATTTGACATAGATGGCTTCCTTCACTCCTCTCTCAAACCATCTGTCCTGACTACAGTGACTATAAATTCTGTAACTCCCCATTAGTCAGTCAGAACTGAAGGAGCCTCTGGGAAGAGAGGTAAAACATTTTCAAGAATCTACAAGAGAAGTCCAGTTGATTTCCAATGAAGCTTCTATGATTACAAAATAGTATGACTCTCCTTCAAAGAAAAACAGCAGCAAAAGCCCAAAATGGGATATGTTTATATTCAAGTGACAGTGCCCTTGAGTGACCACGGTATTTATGACAGGGCGAAGTCAAGTGACATTATTAATGAACAAAGCTGTCTTCTTAGAGAGGAGGCTGGGGCAAATGTTTGGGTCAACAAAACATTGGATGTGTCTTAACAGAGCTTTACTTTACTTTACTTTGTAAAACTAGTTATTTTTAAGCAAACTTCAATATCACTCCCCAACCTCAACAACACATCTGACCTGAGACCATTTCCCTAATCCTAAGCATGTTGTGTTTGTACCATTCTTGTGTGTGTTGTGGACAAACAGTATGTTCTGTTGTTTCGATTGGAAAGCTAGCGAAGAATACCATTAACACAGCCACGTTTTGGTTGTACAAGGACCGAATGGCTTGTATCAACAAGCCCGGTACCCCATGCTCCTGCAGTACCCCCTACATGGCCCCTCAACTGACAAGGTCGTAAGCCTTTCACAAATCCATAAAACACACTGGGACTGACTGGTCGAACTCCTGTGAACCCCTCAGCAGCTCCACAAGAGTAAAGAGCTGGTCCACTGACGGAATCTTCATTGCTCCTCCTGAATCCGAGGGTCAACAATCGGTCAGATCCCTCCTTTCAGCACCCTAGAGGTTGAGTAGTGTGATACCCCAATAATTGGAGCACACCCTCCCCTTGTTCAAAAATGGGAACCACAACCATCCAACCAAAAGTCGTTCTCCTTAGCCTCTATGAACTCCTTCCACACCTGAGTTTAAGTTTCCACAAATGCCGCAACTACAGCCCTTTTGACCGACTGATGCTTGTCTGCTGGCTGACCCCTGAGCTAACCAAGCCCCACAAGGCCTCCTTCTTTAGCCTGACAGCCTCTTTCACTGCTGGTCCACCAGTGGGTTTTCAGCTTGTCACCACAACAGGCAGCAGTGGTCACAGCTCCTAACACCCGCTTCTGCAATGGAGGCTTGAAACATGGCCCACTCAGATTCCATGTCCCCGACCTTGCAGGAGAAGCTCTTAGGGTTTACCAGGTCTACCTGGCAGCTTTCCAGGCCATCGGATCCATGTCACTGCGAGGTGGTGATATTTAAAATGTGACCTCTCTAGTTATTAAAATCACCACCAAGATGTGGCAACAAGTAACAATGAAAATCTATTTTATGGCACCATATGTTTCTGAAGCTTGATAAGCTATCATCATACATTAACAGGAATGTCCGTGTTTAAAAAATCCTAAATGAACTATTGTTTTGCCCGTAGGGGAACTCCCCTAAAGACCGCAGCATTACCTCCCATGGGGTAGGGGTCCCATATGGTCTAGGACCCTGGTTTTCACCTAGGTGGCCCAGGGTTTGACTCCCACTATGAGAATAAAAGCCATGGCTTGTTAGATGGGCTCTGGGCTAATGTCAGAAAGTCAGGAATTCAAGCCCTGGTAACACATCTTAACTCTCATCCTGACATAATTTTCAACTACACACATTTCTGGAGGCACCATTCTACAGAAACAACACCAGGACACTGGTACTGTGGGAAAAGTGAAGCAACTACTGGTAGTTAGTGGCCTCATCACTGTTATGTCATCATGTAATTAGTGGCAAAGGTTTGCCAGTCAGCCTGTGGAGCTCCAGCTGGGTACTACAATGAATCAAACAGTTCCTTGTTCTCCTACCAACAGTGCATCTTATTACTATTGACAATCTGTCATATCCCTGACACAGTAAGGGCCTGTTTCTGCAGATACACCACAGAGAAGAGAAGAGGACGTTAATACACATCCTCAGACCACAGAAGTGTTCATCTTGCATTAGCACATTGTTTCTATCTGTTTCTCTGTTGTTTTGACATTAAGTATCTGGCTCGACTCTGCGCTTGCCTTCGGCTGTCTTGTTTTCCTTGTTCTTGTTTGTGTTTTTTTCGCCTTTCTGATTATATATTCTGTTGTCGACAGACTGCACATTTAGGTTCAGGCATAAATGGGTTGTGCATGTTTCTATCCAGGGGACTCATCCCGAGCAGTCACTACAGACATTTTTATTCATGTTTTCCTGCAGTGCTTTATCGCTTTTTGGAAATCCAGGACCAAACTGTCTTCACCTTGTTTTAAACTGCCAATACTTTTGAGTTATCCACCAAGAAGATTTAGCAGCGAAGAAATGCTGATTAACATCCAGGTACCAGGCTTTGCAAAGTATGGAGTAACTGTGGATGCCTTTGATCAGCACATACACTTTATTTACTTCACTTATTTACTTTTAAAGGACAGTGTATATCTGCTGTCCCTGACAAGGATATGCAACAACAAGAAAGATACAGACTCCACCGACTTCTCTGCAGTGTTTTTTTAAAACCATAATGTTCACTGTTTTTAATCAAAAGCAATGAGCAAGTAGAGCCTGAATTTTCTGATGACATTAGAAAAGGTGATGTAGTTAGGAAAGATTGCTTAAAAGCAATAAAAAAGAATGATTGGCAGAAAAATGCCTTCAATCCCTTTAATTAAACTTTCATTTTAAATGCACACCAATTATTTTAATTGCCTTTTTCAGTAAATCTGATCTATTTGCCAGTAGTGAGAAAAGAAAAGAAAAAAAAACTGAACATAAGTCCCCTGTGCTAAGGTATAATAATCATTAAAATTCAGAGGACAGCAGAAGAGAGGAGAGACAAACAAAGAGACATGTAAGAGGGTGACAGTGAGAAAAAGACAAGAAAAGAAGAGAGAAAGTCATCTCACAAAGCCAGACTAATCAAAGCAGTGGGAATTTGCATCGACAGGTCACCGATCATGCACTCGGCATTTTGTGAATCTCCTTTAATCTCGCGGTTTCACTTGATTGAGAATCCAGTCGAACTTGAACTTTAAATGAAAATACCAGACTTATTGAATTTTTTTTCTTCTGCTATGCCACCGCTCTACTGCTTTAGATTACACAGTCAGATCCTACTGTACAGTATGTAGTTAAAGTGAAGCCATGTGTCATGAAACATCCTGCTGTCAAACCACATCAGGATCACTTTCACCTTCTGGAGAAATAAAATGATTATCATTAAGACACATTTGTTTCATCCATCCATCCATCCATTATCTATACACCGCTTAATCCTCACTAGGGTCGCGGGGGGGCTGGAGCCTATCCCAGCCGACTTAGGGTGAAGGCAGGGGACACCCTGGACAGGTCGCCAGTCCATCGCAGGGCACATTTGTTTCATTTATTTTGCTATTTGCTCGTCGCATTACAATGTATATAAGCAGATATTCAGCACTGCAACGGCATTTTTTTGTCAGCAACTATGAATGCTCGTCACATAACATATTTTTTTTCTAAGAAATGAAGGCCTTTTCATCACATCCCAGCAAACCTTTCATACGTGAAACTGTCACATGCAGTATGTGATTTTTACCTATTCACATAAGAAAACTGAAATTGATCACTTTTTAGTTTTGTTTAAAAAAAAAATAGTGTAACACCACTGTAATGTATTGAAATCTATTTAGACACAAGAATGAATAAATTGTATTTATTGAAAAATGCAATCATAATATTACTATATATAACATCACTAAGGGATGATCTGAGCAAAACGGCAGAACCATTTAAAATGGGAGGCAGATCATTTGTGTAAATTAAAAATATAATTAAGATTCACAAAGTACATTAGATCAGAAAGATGAAATAAGATGTTAAACTAACAGCAAAAAATACACTTTCACAGGACATATTAACCTTTTCATGCATGAATCATGATACAACGGAGAGGGATTTTTTTTTTTTCTTTTCAGAGTTTTCTATGACAACACTTTAAACCACACGCCCATTTGGCTTAATTTGCTTAAATTTCTAAAATAGAAATCTGAACATTGGATACATTTAATTTTAAAAT